TCTCTACCATTCCTGCTGCTGGCAACCTTTCATTCTTTCCCTTCCCATGTTCCCTCTTCTTTTGAACCCTACTGCATCCAATTAATTTTTGGTCTCCCCTTTCACATTGCTGTCACCCAAGTCCTATCAGACCTCCCTGATTCTGACTCCAGGTTTAGTCCTGTCCTGCGCTCTCCTCTCAGTCTCTCATATTCACGATGTCAACTCTGTGTTGATGACCTATCCAAAACCACATACGTTTCCTCATCTTATTGTCTTCATTCAATTTATAACCCTAGTTAACATTCCTACTTGCCAAGCTGGCCATTCCATCTGAATTGGTCTTCACCATACACTGCTCTCTCACAGCATGGGCAAAAATAACATTTGAAGTGGCCCAAGTGCTTTTAGTGTGCTCCAAAAAGTGAAGCTACAAACATACTTGACCGATGAAGTGCTTAAAAAATACCCATTCTGCTTCAGAAATGACCCTGCAGAAAGAAGAAAATCTTGGAAGCACTTCTCTATGAAGCAATTCATATTACTGTATTTACTCAAATACAAAATGAGGTTTTTTCCCCCCAATTGGCATGGGAGAAAAAGCCACTTGTCTTATAATCTCATACAAAGAATCTCACTAAATACAGTATCAATTAAACTGCTGCTGGAAAGCCGCATGTGCTTAGCAGCGGAAACCAACTATGAAGCAAATTAAAAGCAGACCACACTGAGCATGACTATAACACACATGGCCTACATTGGGCAAACATGCAGATGGGAACATACACAAGAATAAGTTAGTACAGCCCATCTGAATAAGACATATGGTTGTGCCCAGTACATGCAGTCCCCCTCACCATTGATTCTTTTTCAAGTCATGGTGAGCCACAACACTGCATTCAGTTAACCCAGACTCCCTCTTTCAGTCCCTCTCTCAGCTTGGTGCGCGATTAGTGTGGTCCTGCCTTCCATGAGGTGGAGCTGGACCAGGCTGCCCTGTACTTCATTTGCATATACATTTTTGGAGCATCCCAAGGATTTGTGACAAGAACACCCACTTCCAGTCGTGAGCGGGAGCTAATTAGTACCTCCTTTGTGGGAGGTATCTGGAGTACACACACACACTCACTCACTCACTCACTCACTCACTCACTCACTCACTCACTCACTCACTCAGCAGTGCTGAGCTATGGGGTCATCATGGCTTTGGATGCTGTTGACTCTGGTGGGGCCCAGTCTAATAAACTATGTGGTAAATTACAAGCCTTTGACTTTGAACTAATATCAGGCATAGCTGGCACCTAATTACATATAGTACAAAAGTGCTACTCAAAAGTGAGCTTATGGAGTACCTGTGCTAAAACTTGCAGCAGTTTCAAGAAAAGGTAACATATCAATTTTGCATATACTAAGTGCATGGGTACTATTTGCAAATTGATACAGTCATGTTTAATTTAAGGTTATTGTTTTCAAGTTTGCTCCTCACTTCCACATGTTCAAGGAGAGCAGGGTCTGGCAGTAAAAAGAGAGAGAAGGGGCTGCCAGGGGAAAAAGTTGGTGGGAAGCAGAAAGCAAAGGGCTACCTGATTCCCAGATTTATTTTTCCTGCTGTAGCAACCGGAGGGAACAAATTCAAGGCAAACCTCCAATAGCTAGATTCTATACCTGGAAAACTGTAACAAATTTATAACTTTCCCATATATAGAATCTAATTATTGGGGGGTCATCTTATGAACAGGGTTGTCTTCTATTTGAGTAAATACAGCATGTTTCCACCCACCAGCAGAGCATGTTAGGGAGTTGGTCAATCCACCTGCACCCCACACTGCACCTTCCCACCCCTTCTACTACTTCAAGGAGCCTCTTCTTGGTACTCACGCCAATCTCCATGGCTGTGGGATTACAGAGCCTGCCTGCCCTTTGACCTCTGCTATATAGTGCCAGGTGACAAGGCCACATTGTGCCCTTATTTTCTTAGATATGCACCCTGAAAACTCAATTTCTATTGTCTAGGAACAGGTTCATGAACCATTTTGAAGCAGGCCACCATTAGTTTGTGCCACCCCCTTCTGCTGCATCTACGTAGCAATGTACCAGCTTGAGGTGGGAAGAGATAATGGACCCCCTTGCCATCTGGGGTAATAACAACATCCAGCATGCATTCTAGACAAGCCATTGCAACTGGGCCTTCTAATTATTTTTTATTATTTAGATTTATACCCTGGACCTATCCAAAAGACTCCGAGTAGCTTACAATAAACAGAAAAAACCCATTAATAGAATTCCCCAAACACCACCCCAAAACTTGAGAACTCCAACTATCATTTTCCTGACTAAACACCGCACGTAAGCAAACCTTCCAGCAAATCCCAACCATGCTTCCCCAAGAGCAACACCAAAGGACGCCTTTAGTGGTACCAGCTTGAGGAGGTTTACCAGCTTTGTAGGGCCTACTGGCTGGCCAGGTCCTTCTCCCTTCGTGTGGGCAGCCAACATAGTATCTGGGTCAAGAGTGGGAGGGGATGGGAGAAAGTGATGTCAGCTGTTCTTCGGTCCACGGCAGCTATGAAGCCTGCTCAAAGGCCAAACCATGACTGGCACCAGTGCTAGGGCCAAGACTGAAGGTATGGTGGTATAAAAAGGCCTGGCAATTGGGACTCAGATGCTCCGACAATGACTAGCACCTATTACAAGGCTCTGTCCAAAGTCTAGTACAGTACCCCCTCCTTTTTTTTTTTTTTTAAACCAGACCTGCCCTTCCAAAGCAAAGTATGTTGATATTCTAGTCATGGAAATTGTCCCATTAAATGTCTGTGATACCAATATGCAGGAGTCAACATAGAAAATAGCATAACATATCAATGCCCTAAGGAGTTGGGGCACTGGATTCTGTACCAATTGCAGCTTTTCCAGAGCATTTACAAGTCTTTGGTATCGTTCCTAAGATACAGCGGATAAAAATAACAGCTGGACATTCACAACATGAAAATCTCTTTAAATCAGGTCTGTTTCAGATAAGGTAGGACCAATCTTCTGCTTGAAGCGTCTTTGATGTAATGACATATCGTTGCCTACACCTGGCAGGAAGCATTAATGAGGCTATACTGACTGCATAACCAATGGGCAGTAACAGAGAGAGACAGGTCCTAATCATATTAGTGTCAAAAAAAAAGTGCAACTTTTAAAGCAATGAGGAAGTTACTTTACCAATATCAATAGGCTGATCAGAATGCATTCGAATAGGAGGCTGTTGTTTTCTCCGTACTATCTCCACTATCAGGGACGAGGAAAGATGTTCAAATTCCTTCATCATTATTACTTGATTAAAATGCGATTCTTTCACCACGAAGTTTAGGCAATGTTCCTTAAAGAATGAAAAAGTCATTGGTGTCCCATCTGAAATCCTATCATTTTATACAGACTGCAAGAAAAATGATTACAAAACTTTCATTTCAAAATCTTTTCCTAAATTAATGCTTTTTGTGACATTAAATCAGAAATAAGAGAGGATTAAAGACAAACTAGGAAAATTATTTTTCTTTAATTACAAATTATAATAATATTCCCTTCATGGGTAGCTAAGCATCTAGGTTTGGTCATCTACAAGGCATTCCGACACCTTTGCACCCAGTGGAATTCTACCCCTGGATGTGTACCACTGAGCATGTGTACAACTGTGCAGTCATGCAGACTGGACATGTGTACTGGCAACAGAGTGAGAGGGAGAATTACCAGCTTTTCCCCACAATAGTTGAATGGCAAGAGAACTACCCTGGAAATCCAAAAGACCCTGTTCTATGCCCACTTGGCCCAGAGTAGGTTTGAACCTGGGTGTCTGATTTCCCAACACATCGCTGTAATCACCAAGCTACAGGTCAAGCATTATCTAGTCCCTTCTCTGGTGCTCCTTTTGAAGCTGAACCAGTAACACAGTCACTGGTGGGAGAAAAAGGATAGAAGACAGTGCTAGAGGGAGCACCGGACTTGCTGGGAGCAAGGACTTAGGCTAAACCAAAGGTCCCCTCCTTTCCAAGCTATCAACCTTCTCACTGAGCCACATAGCCTGTGGCTTGCACTCAAGTATCCTGGGTGCAAAATATGCCAGTATCTTCCTGAGTTGGCAATTAATTCTCTTCCCCACCTTTTTTTAAGGCACACTGTTTAAAGAAAAAGCATGAAAGCAAAATTTTGCACTGAACGGGTTGAAGAACCAGTTTCAAAATCTCTGCAGAGTGCAGCAGGATGGAAACACCTTTGGTTCTGTCTCTCTGCAATGAGAAGTAAGAGGGAACTGAGGTCACTCTGCCACTTATACGCAGGCACAGGAGCCTGAGGAAGCACAGGCTGTACACACCAATCCAAATAAATACTTATATTAAAAAATTTGATTGTACATACATGAGCCACACAAGCCCCTACAGTGGGATCTACATGGATATATAGTCAAAGAACTGTGATTGCAGAGAAAAAGAAATGAGTTTAGGAAAGCTGGAAACTTTCACCAGAACCAGCCAGATCTCCTAAGTGTAGGTGAGGTGTTTTAGGTAAAGGGGTTTTTAGAGCTCTTCATCTCAGACAGACATGTCTATAAGTTAGGAATCAACTTTCTACACCAATACCAAGCATCCAGGAATTTCCTTTAATAAATGCTTCCAGCTACACAGTCAGATCACCTTAAAACCCACAGCATTACGTGATAACATTTGTAAGCAATGTCTACATTGACTACGCTTGAGACTTTACTTTTTACATTTGATCAGTTACTCTGTAAATAGGGATTTACCTTTAACTGATCTAGCTGAAGCTTGTTAGCATTTTCACACACAGTGAGCACATTCTGGAGATCTACAGATGCTTCAATATACTGGACACAGAGCTGTTCTAGTCGAGAGAGCTTAAAGTTCAGGGCTAGTTTGTACACATCCATGATAAGAAGAACATCTTGCACATGACCTGTAAATTACAAAGGAAAACAGTATCCTTTCACAGCTCTGGAGAGACCCCAAATATGAGACTATTCAGAGATCTAGGGAGGTTAGGAATTTTCTTAAGGTAACATGTGATGCCATCTGGAGTAATTAGAACAGCAGAACCAAAGGCAATTAGCAAAGTACTTTTATTACAGAAGATCAGCTTCAGTTTAGATTAGATCAGGGAATAGTAAGCACCAGTCAAGGAAAAGTCCTTCAAAGCTGATGAGGTAAAACGCCCTTTTCTGGCCTTACTAAAATTTTTGGAACGTCTTGGGGCAAAACTTAATAATAAAACAAAACTAGAGCTTTAATTTAAGATCTTAAATCCATTCACAGGTGCCCAAATAAGTGGTCTGATTTTTAATAGTGTAAACACCCACCAGTTTTGATTGATGTCACTGGTGTTTCTGCCTCATTCACAATAGGTTCGCTGATTCTGACTGGTTCCCATTAAAACAGACTCAGTCTGGACATGAGGACATATGACTTGTAAGGGTTTGGGATTCATGGAGAAGCTGGTATTATTTTCAGTACAGCTGTCTTTTGGGTTTACACCACAGTCCTCATCCTGCTGTCTTACCTTTGCGTGGATATTTTATTTTATCTGTGTACAGGAACTGCATGAGCACCTCAAAGGGCTGCGCTTCAGCTTCCCGGATAGTCACCTCCAGCAGCGGCTGCTGGCGGCACGGCTTAACATTACCACCTACTCCTTCCTTCTGGGACATCTCTCGTCCCTCTTCTTCAATCTCTTGCTTAGATTTCTAATGGGGTAAAAAAATAAAAATAAAAAAGCAGAAATATAAAATAAGCTAAGGTTGTCTGGGTGACCCCTCAAGGCTGGGGTGAAGTCTAGATTTACCAGAGAATGAACTATGTCTATGGGTGTACATGAAATATAATACCAGTGCAAAACAATGGCTTTACATTGTTCCTGGGGTTTGTGACATGGATTTTACCATTCTTGTCCCTTTGTGACCTGACTTGTTTTTGTAAGGTGATTTTACTTCAGCCAGTTGATTGAATACTTTAGGTGTAATTTCATCAAACCCTGCTCATATGAAAACATCTGGCTTACTTAAGTAATCTCTAGACTGAATGCATATCCCTTTTTTCCCTTAATTTTCTGCCTTGGTCTTCCTTGATTATTGTGAGTGCAATATGTTTTGGCCTTGTCCTGTTATATCCCCTGCCTACCCTCAAATATACCCTAAGCTCCATGCTGAAGGAAACCTGGGACCTAATGACATGAAGATGTGATTCTAATACTCTGCTGGGTGGTAAACAAACCAAAAAAGACCCAACTCAGAGAGCAAATCTTATTCTATTTTTGTTCTATTTCCAAGATCCTTTTGGTCTTTTGACTAATTATTGCCAAACTCAGTCAGGGTAAGCATCAACTTGCCATAAGACTATTTCTGTGAGATACTTGCCTGTTTCAATCTTTCCCTTGCCTGTATAATTTTCTTCCTTAGCCATTTGCAGCGAGCTGTGACAATTGCTGTATGACCACGGACTCGTTCTTCTTTCTGTCGGCAGTGAGAGAAAAAGCATACATTAAGGCAGGAGTTGGCAACCTATGGCCCATGGGCTAAATCTCACCCAGAGGAGAGTCCCCACAGCTGGGGGCTTGCATCCCAGTAGCCCTGATGCCCTCATCAGACTCCCATTCCTCCCTCCCCACCTTGAGGAAGCTGCTGCTGCAGGTGGGAGGTGTTGGTGTGGCCAGCAGCCACAGGGTTACCCCAGCCACCGTACTATAGCCACTGCCTATCTCGCCACCGAATTCACTTTTACTGATTGCCCCCTCAACAGCAACTGGAAGCAGCTATAGCAGGGGTTGCCACAGGATCCACACTTGGCAGCTGCTCTACGAACCAACAGCTCCCCCTGCAGCTATGATGTCTCTCAAGGATGGAAAAGGAAGCTGAGGGGGCTGGGGCTATTGAGATGTGACCCTACATTGCCTCTGTCTGCAGTGTAGTGGTGGGGGCTAAGGAAGAAGGTAAATGGCAGCTCACTGTAGCAGCTGGGCTGCCATTATTCAAGGTCACTGGCCTCTGTGTTACAAACTATGTGAACATATTCACATAGTATGTTAGTCAAAGAGAATGGAAATAAAAGGAATTTCACCTCTTCCGAGACAGGTTCCAGATGATCAGATTCTATCCAAGTCCAATTGTCTTTTCCATTATAACACAGAAGCAGCATTTGTTTGCTATTGCTCTTAAAATCTAGATTCTTAAAATGGCTTTGTTGGATTCTACATGTGCCTCAATAACTTACAGATTTTCCTGGTTATAGATTGAGAATGCTTCCCTATCACAGTCCTATAAATAAACCTGAAATACTGTTCTGATAGATAATATTGCCAATGACAGGAACAAACATGAGACCAGTTGTGAACAGGATCCATGCCAGTTCTGGCTTGTAAAAGCCAGCTGAGGGAGACTGGGGCCACAGCTAGCAAGGGTTGTCAATGCCTTCCTTTTGAAGGGTAGGGTGCCAGATATTCTTACGCCCTTAACTGTCCAGCTCCTATTCAAAAAAGGATTTCTTAACTTGGACTCCACAGCCAGCTACCATGCAGTCTCCAACCTCCCCTTTTTGGGGAACATCACCGAATGGGCATCTGGATGCTGTTGGGTTCCTCAACCCGCCAGTCTGACATTCATTGTGGGTGTA